CCCCCTGGCCGACGTCCGAGTTACGTGTGTGCATTAAATTAATAACATGTTTCCAGACGTTCAGCGAAACACATGGTCACCGCCGTCCAAATGGGTCAGCAAAAAATGCCGAATGCCCTTCGAGCCGAGATTATCCTATCCGTTTACCATAATTAACGATCGAGAGTTTGCCGTGTTAAGGACAAATCCAACATGTGAGATTCGCGCCGTACACTTTTATTAGATATCCATTTTACATTCGATTCGAATTAAATTTACAGCTGAATCAGTCAATTAAATTATATAATTTTCAATAATTAATCATTTCTAGTAATAGTTTAACTCTTTTAGTGGCCTTTTAATTCCTACATTTCTAGACATAACAAACTTTTAGACAATTGAATCAGATAACTTCGTCAACTGAATCAACATCAAATCAACCAAATTGTATGTCACATTAGATATGTTCAAAAGGTGGGACAATGCGTGTCAGTAGTTGTCAACCTCTTAAAATGACAGCTGTCACCTTGCGTCAAATATTATATTATGAACAATTATCTTCTACATTTTGTTTTAGTTGCCATGGATTAATAATTCAATAACTTTATCATATTTTAGATTGAAATTTTCATACGATTAGGAATTTCATGAAAATTTCAGAATTTACGAAGTGTTCCACTGCAGGAAAAGTTTGGGAAACTCTGATATAAATAATGGGATTAGGATCATCAATGGAGCGTTTCACTTGTTTACATGAGGAATTAAAGTAAATACACCTTCTTTGTCGGCACATTTAAATAGCGTATCATCGTTCCATACAAATATATATATATAAAAAAATACTACGCTTTTCATTCATGGTTTCTGGAAATTATGAACGGAATTCGAGCGTAAACTGTTTTTTTTTTGTAGTGTTTCTTTTTTTGTCCGATTCGCTCGAGCTCGAAAGTGGAAGCAGATGGTTTTTCCATTAGAGTTAATGCTCATATAGGAAAAAAAGACATATGTGTGTGTTATTTAAAACTAATTATTATCGAACACACATAAATTTGTAATTAATTGATTTGATAATTAATAAATTTGGGAAAAATAATTAAATTATTGACTGTCTCTTAATTAACGTAATAATTTAACGTAATAATTTAATAGGTTTTTCGATTAGTAAATTAATCTTTTAATTAACATTTATTTAGTGTGTAAATTTGAATAAAAATATCTTTGAGAAAAAAAGTTGAGCTAAAATTTTTCAATTTTAAGATTTCTTAGTCTTTTTACCAATTAGTGTACTGCTTTTGGAATTTACAAGATCATGCCGTGTGTAAATTAAAAAAAAATACTTGTTAAGAAAATTTTTTAAATTAAGTAATTTTTTAATTGCCTTTAGCAAATGCAATAACAGTAATTTTTGTAAGGTTCCCTCCTTTCTACGCTAATTAGTATACTACTTTTCGAATTGACAACCTCATGCCGTGTGTAAATTTGCTAAAAAAAAAACAACGTTAAATTACGTAATTTTTCAATTTCCTTTTGCAAACTTGATAACAGTAATTTTATAAGGTTTCAAACTAATTATCTTTTCGAATTGATGTGTGTAAATTTGCTAAAAAAAATCTCGTTAAGAAAATTAACAATTATGTTTTTCTTTTTCAATTCCCTTTTGAAACTTCGATAATAGTAATTTTTTAAACGTTCCCTCCTTTCTACACTAATAAGTATACAACTTTTCGAATTGACATGCTCATGTCGTGTTGTAAATTTGCACAAAAAAAAGAAACATAAACAAATCTCGTTAAGAAAAATTGTTAAATTATGTAATTTTTCAATTACTTTCTTCGCTAATTAGTATACTATTTTCGAATTGACAAGCTCATGTTTTTTAAGAAAAAAGTTAAATTATGTAATTCTTCAGATGCTCCGAACAGTGATTACTTTTAAGGCTCCTTCCCCTAATTAGGATACAGATTTTCGTAAAAAAAATAAAGAAAATAATCATGTAAAGAAAAATAAATGGTAAATTAAGTAATTTTCCAATTGTCTCGAAACGGCAGATGTTCGTTTCTTCTACAAAAATGTTAAGAAGAACGAAGACAAAGTCGAAAACGAAAGAAATAACGAGCGGCCGTATTTATTCCTCTTGTCGTTCTCTCCTGATACGTACGTATATGTAAGTGTATTGATTATTTTCATGGAAATGCACTTAATTAAAATGAATGTAATTGCTTATGGGGAGTTATGGCCGTCGAGCAATAAATCAAACGCGCAACGTGTGCGTCTCTCATCCTCTCCTCGTCTCACTCATTACATCTTACACTTACTTCTCATTATGCTTTACATAATACATAATTGAGTAAATCGTACGAATTGCGAGCGTCGCAACGGCGATGCTCACGAAGTGCTGAAAAACAATTTCTTAATTGCGTTTAATAATTACACAATTAACACGTCTCTTCGTAGTATGTACGCATTCAATTATCGCCTCGATGGGCGTGGGAAAATCGGAAAATGTTCTACAGACTTTTCATTACTCTTAGTTCTTTTTTTTTAATTCCATCGCTTTTATTAATGTAAAAGTCATTGCGACGCATTCCTCTCCACGCATGAATCACACTCTAATTATAATAATTGTAAATGTATTATTTAATGCTCACATTTACGGCGTTAATTAACACTTGTATTTGTATTTAATTTCACAAATAAAAACCAATCAGTTGTTTCTTTTAATAATAGTTTTAATCAATTTCGTTCGTAAAGTGAATTTATGTGTTTTGTTAAATTTACAAAAGTTTTAAAACATTGATTAATGCGATTTCGAAAGGTGGGTTATTCGGACGAAGTGCGATGTTTTTTTTACAACGGTTATAGCATTAGCATAAAGACAAATTGATGTTAATTCCCATTGTTTGCCACCACGAATATTTATTCAAATTTCCATCCACTTTTTTTCTCTCAGTAAAAAAAGAGAAGCCGAACTCGATGAGAAGAGCTCCACCTCGATTTCCAAGCGGTTCTCTCGGTTAATTTGTAGAGAGTTTGTCGCATCTAATTGTTTAATTAATTATTGATTGGGTAAACTGTTCACGTCTGTTCCGGCAATTACCAAAGCAAACAATATCGTTTTTTTTTGTTTTCAAACTCTTTCTTTCATTCTCATTCGTTCTTCGAAAAACCCTTTCCAGTTCTGTCCACGTTTCTCTCTTTTCCCTCCACGTCTCTCTTTCTCTCTCTCTCTCATTTCTCTCTATCTCCGATGAATTCAATTGATCATTAACAATTAATTATACTCACTAATAAACTTTAATCATACCGCGAGGAGCGTTCGCAAAAACGCCGAAAAAACGGGTCGGATTAAATCACTCTTGGCAAATCGCTAAATGAATTATTCCAGGCAATTGTCCAGAGGATTAATTAAAGCCGGAGCAGAGCGGCTGGAAAAGGAGCAGCCGTGGCGAAATTGGCGCGAGACACTTTCGATTCCGACCGTGCAAGGCTTGCTTTTTTGATTTTGTTTTTTTTTGCAAAGAGCAAAACGGATGTTCTCTCCTAATGATTTTCTCATAATGACTAACATTTTTCCAATCGTCCGATCGTGGGATAAACGACATTTACTTAATGACAAACGATTTATTCTAAATGCTAAACTAAACACAAATATAAATCATTTAAATGCTTTATTTTTTTGTATTTAATCTTAATCCAATAAATCTTAGTTTAGTCTATATTTCTAAATTCGTAATGTATTCACTAGATAGAATTTCCGTTTTCAAAAGAAAAGTTAACTACAACAAAGAATGATCATCAAATATGAAAAAAATTGTAATCAGTATATTTAGTGTTTTTGGAACAATTAAAAGTATATTTTTTTTGTTAATTAATTTTATTAGCAACAAAACAAATGTAGAGACAATAGATGTTTAAAAATTACACTGATTTTGACATAAGAATTAAAATGGCGGACATAGAAAATGGTAACGTTTCTTTTATGACATTCTGCATGTTATTAAAAAAATAATATTGGAAAGAAAAAACTTGGATTGTTAATGTTAGGTGTTTTAAGTAGACTATAATGAAGACAAATGAATGTAATCATTGAAAATTTCTGAAATACCAATAACATTTTCCTCTCATACGATCGCTTCTAATGGGGTGGTAATTGCTGGAATTACACGATCTTCAGCTACCGGAGAGAATTCGGGATGGACGAGCGTTCGAGGATAATTAATGCTCGTAGACTTATCATCTCGGAGCGGTAGCAGAACGACTAAGTCTATGATGATGATGATGATGATGGTTGTTGTGATGTGAGCGAGAGTGAGTTACATAACGGATGGCATTCGATCCAGTTCTGACGTGCTCGGACGGGGAGAGGTAATTGATCGACCCATCGTCGCCATCTTCTGGTGGATGGGAGGTAGCTGCGACCAACGGTGACCA